GAACTTAAGGGTTTCGACCTTTCGCGCACCGTACTTATTTTTATTGAATGTAGACCAAAGTATGTTTTGGTTATGAAATAAACAATGTAATTTTATATTGTAGATATTTCTTCATAGCATGGGCAAGGTAACAATGCAATACTTTGATATTAAATGCTTGTAGCACATAATAGAAGACTAATCAAAGTTTGCATCACTGTAATCAAAAGTTGTCATTTTTTCACATTTGATTGCAACATTTGAGGAAAGATACTTAGAATCAAGATAATTAATATGAACTTCTCAATTATTGATAAGATTCTGTTAGTTATAGGTTGAAAGCATAGCTTAATATCTATTTTTTTAAGATTCATAATAATTATTTTTGAGAATCTAAGAATAAATTATCTAAAGATTGCTATAATGAGAATAAATTAGATATATGTTCACTGCACTTAAACATCTTTAATATAATGGAGTTAAAGAAAGGAAAAATAAATGATTAGTATAATTAATATGATCAATGTTACATGATCATAAAAAAGATTTGAATTTGATAAGAGAGATTAACATTTAATAAGGCCTCCATAATGTTGATTTTATTAGAAGCGACTTGATCAGAAAAGCGCAAGTGTCACTTATCAATTTTTGAGATTTTTTCATGTGCTTTAGTACAATAAAAAACAAACTTCATATATTCATCCACTATAAAGGATTAAGTATATTTATGTGAGATTAGACTCTATACTTAACAACAAAATAACTAGTGATCGTATAATTAAGTTATAAATGTATTTGTGAGATTAAACTCTATATTATTATGAATCATATTTCTAGAGGTTAAGTTACTTTTAAATTTATTTATATCAAATTTCTTCTTGTAGATATTTTTATAAAACAACTGAGCGAAGAAAGATTTTTCAAACTAAAATGAAAAATTGAAATGATAGCTCATAATATTTGTTTTTTAGTTATATGGTTGCTTTATATTTGCTATGCATATTTTCACTCGTCATTTTGGTATTTATTTATCATGTAGCCAAAAGTGGAGAGATATATAAGTTGAATATCATATTTATATTATATACATATATTAGGGAGAGACTTAGCTATATTATTTAAGAGGAGCATCTATATTCATATATTATTTTATCATGTTACTCTTAGAATTTAATTTATTACGAGAAAAGGCAAATTTTTAGTTCAATCTAGGAATTAGTCAACATAATTTAATATAAAAATGGGGGAGGAAGAGATTGTCAATTTCATGAGATCATGATATTTATGAGCTTATTTCAATGATGTTAAATGTACAATTATAAACAATTACATAATATTAAAACTTAAGTGATTATAGGATTGATACAATGGAAGGATCCATATAGTAAAATTGATTTTGGTAATCATAAAATATCGAGTAGACATGAAGAATTGATTCAAGGGTTTAATTGAAGACTCTCTTATAAAGTTTTGTAGTTATGATATTTCATTACTCTTTTTATCCACCAACTCGAGGTGTAAAGGAGCTTTTGTACTTGTGGTTTCATAATTGGGGTAGTGTAACTCTATCCTCATTAGATATGGACATAGGAAAATGAGAATTAAACCACACAAAGATAATTTGAATTGAGTCGATTTGCTATTTTATTTTATTATATATCATTTCATTTACATATAATTTCTTTTTTCTTTTTGTTGTTAATTCATTTGTTGACTTCAAGAATGTTTTAAAACACTAATTATCACCAACTTGATTTGTCGTACTCATATTTTTCAGTAACTCCCTCTTTTTGTATTACTCTCCTTTTACATGTGTGTGATATTTTTGTGCAAGCAAAGATGTAAAATTCAATCCTATCATCAAAATTGTTTATGCACACAACATCAATAAAGCCCTTTTTAATGATTTTAGTAAAAGTGAAGCTTTACATTGAAACTTAAATTTAATATAAAATAAAAATAACATGTGAAATTTCAGGGGTTACAATATATCCCTCTTTCCTTTACAAGATAGCAATGAAATCAATTTTTTCTTACAGCATAAAAAAAGTATGTCTTGCTTGATGAAGAATTTTCATAGATTTTAGGAAAAAAGTTCTCACAGTTCAAATTAAACTTAATTTAGGACACTCTGACCCACACTTTCTTTCCTTTTTATGGTAGCAAGATGTAAAATTTTAGATTAAATTTTGGAAGCAAATAAAGAAGTGTCATTGTTTGATTTGATGAATCCTAAAACATATTAAAGCTTAATTAAAAAAGGAGTGGAGTCATATGCAGCAATGATGCTGTTTGGCTGCAAAATTAGGTATAATTCATATAATAGGAACAGTAAGCTCAGCAGGGACATGTGGCCATTAAAAGTAATAGTCCACTTTGTTTAAAATTCCACTCTACTCTGATATGCATCAATCAATTGGAACCCAATCACCCTAGTGTGGAATACCAAATGTCATTTTGGGATTTCACTTCTATTTTCATTTTATACTTTTACTATTCAAGTTCTAAGCGGTAGTTATATTTTATTGAGAAGGGCAACTTAGACTTCGTTTGAAGGAGTTTTGTCGTTCGGCGAAGCTCCATTAAAAGCCCCCTTGTCAAAAAGGATAAGCCTACTTACGGTTCAAATGGGCGAAAAGTTACCATTCTTGAGAACTAACATTCCGAGATGCTTGCGCGACGCTGCTCCACCAAACGACGTGTCAATGTTCGCTGCTTCACCAAACGACGCGTCGACATTTGCGGCAGCTCGACGCCGCAGCCTTCTCAAATGAAGCATTAATCTTAATTATTTTGTTGCATGTTTGAAGAAAAATTGTGAATATGAAGTCCAATATTTAACTGTACTTTTTTAAGAAGTGGGGCTAAATATTAATTTTTGCTGCAGAATAAAAAAAAGGTTTTATTTTCAGTTAAATAGGAAATAAAACGAAAAATAATAATAGTATCAAAACAAATAAGAAAAAAATAAGCCAATTACTAATCTGATCAACGTGCTGCATAAAAAAAAGTTCTTCTACAAATATCATGGTAACTATAAAGATACAATCAAACAATCACAATCATTCAATTTGTTTTAGGGGAATTTACATAAATAACACATTTCTTACATATTTACATATATAAAACTTGCTATCATAATCTCATCAAAATTACTGCATGAAAATGTATATTTCACTTTAAGAAAGGTAATGTTAATTGCATTTTTATTCAATGTAAAGTATGCGAGTTATACATATAAATATTAAAGTTAAAGCATTAGATATGTAAATATAGAAGGCTTTTGTAACATTTATGACTAGGAATGAACAAGGACCAAAAATTTATGACCACAACTCTATAACTATAAAGCAAACTTAAGAGAATTCACTTCCGTTGGGGTAGTAAGCACAATTTATGGATGCCATGATGTACAGATGCTCCTGCACATGACCATGGCACTGCAATGATGCCATTGGAGAGCCTGAAAGGGCTTCTTTTATTCTCTTTTTATTTTATTACTTTTTTTATCAGAGTTGGGTCCAGCCACGAATGATTAAAGGGATGACAAGATTGAAAGATAATGTATAATGTTCCTCTTTTGTGTGAGGGAGAAGAAGAAGGATATGTGGGGGCACCCCCCCCCCCCCCACCTTCATCCTCTCTCTCTCTCTCTCTCAACTTTTTCATAGTGGAGAATTCAGCTTTTTATCTTCATGATTATTCAACAACCCTTTTCCTCCTATTTAATCAGTTATCAGTACAACCATTTAGGAACTATTTCAATTTTTTAAGCAAGAAAAAAAGGTGCATTTCTTAGCTCTAGAAATTAATTGATGCTGACTTGCATGATGTGACATTCCAACCTTGAAACAAGTAATGAAGCCAGAGTTTAAAGAGAGGAGGAAATATTACGTGCGGATAATGTATGTACTGATTGATGGTATTGTGGTGAATACCATCACAATACCACAACAATACTACCAAATAAGCACTATGTACACTTATCTTGTCCACACGTAATAATTCTTCTAAGGAGGCATTAGAATAAAAAATCAAGAGTGAAAAGTAATTAAATTTAAAACTTTGCTCTCCTTTAATTTTTTAAAATGGGCATTTACATATATGCACCACACATTTCTTATGTACATACATATTAAACGCTTAATTTTTTATATTTAAATGCAAAACACTCGAATTTTTAGCATCACATAAAAGTATCATTATTACTAACTTTTTAAAAGTGAAATTCACCTTTTTCATGCATAGTTTTATGATACCACATTGATATAAAAGTAAAAATATCAAATTTTTTGGGTTAGATATGCAAATATATACAAATTGCGTGGTACCTACGTCAATTTCTCTTTTTAAAACAATTATAAATGTGATAATTAAATTAAAAATATAATTGATAATAAATAATTATTAAGAACTTCTCATTTTTTCTTTTATGAAGGAAAGCTTTAAAAGTAGAAACAAACTCATTTTCATCCACTTCCCATTGGACAAATACTTGAACCTGGCTCTGCTCGCTTCCAAATACTAATGTCGAAACAAACTGGACTTGATAGAAATAGTTATCTGATTGGAAAGATATTATACATCATTTTGGTCTCATTTGGCTAGTTTTTATTGCACAAAATAGATGTAAGCTCTTTGGATTGTATAAAAGGTGAGTTTCTCCAACAATGTTCTCCAAAAAAAAAAAAAAAAAAAAAAAAAATTGATTGAATGAAGTGGCTTTTGGCTTCTTCTGCAAACCAAATATCTAGAGAGTCTCCCTTCACCCACTTCTCACTTTCATTTGTTACAGGTAACCAAACCATCACACCTACTCTTCACTTTCAAGCTTTAATGGCTTGCAATTAAACATGCTATTAACAATGTAAATTAGATTGAATAATCAGACTTTCTGCTATGAAGATCCAAATTTAATGCACAGAATTTGCTCTGAAGATTTGAAAACATTACCTCAATGTAAATAAGCCGGAAAGAAAATAATAAACGACAAAATCCTTTTTAAATAAATACAGAACCTCTCAATACTAATCAAAGAAATTAAGAGTATCAGCAGTTTACAAGGCAAAACGAAATAAAAGAACAAAGATACATTGATTTTCTATGTAAGAGTAGAAAGAATGAATGTTATGTGCTCAAAGGGAAAATAAACAAATAAAAAAATATCAACTTGCTGAAATTCGGCCATTAATTTCAAAGAAAGGAGACACCTTTGAAGAGAAGAACGCCTCCAACAGCCAAAAACACACAATCTCCTTCATTTAGCCATGGAAACAGCAGACTGGAAGGTGATGCTCTTCTGGCTCGGCAAAGCCAGCATAGCTGTATGATCAAGGAAATCCTTAAGCGCCACCACAGACTCCAAAACTATCCTCAAATCATCAGCAGAGGGAAAACAAGAGGCTCCCAATCTCCTCACAGCATAAATATAGAAAGTCAAGCAACCTTTTCTGAACTTAAACCTTGCCATCTCACATCCACTGAGCCCACGAATCAATTTCTTGTTCACATCTCCAAGAGGAATCATGGCAGGCCAAATTCTATCAACAGCAGCCTTCATGGTCTCTGTCTCGAACACAAAGAGAGCAACTTTTGACTTTTTGGTACCGAGGCCGAGGGTCAGAGTGTGCCATGCGTGGTGAGCGAGAATGGTGAAGTTGGTGGGAAGGTACATGGTTGTGGAAGGGAAAGGGAGGCCATTGGTGCGGCTGTGATGAGAAGGTGAGATGGCGAGGAGACGGAGGAGTTCTAATGGAGATGAGCGACGGACTGTGAAGGATTTGACGATGAATTGGCTGCCGAATCGAATGCCTTTGACATCAGATGTGGGTTTGAAGTGAGGGTTGGTTGGGTCTTTGTGTTTGGCTTTGTGCTTCTTCTTCTTCTCGTTCTCTTCCATTGTGGTGTGGTGGTTGAAGGGGAGCTTTGATATATATGCTTAAGCGACTAAAACCTACTGTGTTGTTCGATGTTTCCTAATAAGATGTATTATGATATATCATCAAAGGAATTCTATCCACTTGAATGTTTTTTTTCAAGTTCTAAAATAATAAATGAAGGCCCCGTCTTATTTGTGAGATAGTGATGAAGGGTGTAATCTTCCACTATTAAATCATAAATTTGAATCAGATTATCTTTTGAGCTCATCTTTTAAAAATAAATAAATAAATAAATAATAATTTTTTATTTGGCTTATTTTTAAAAGTTTAAATGATGATTTATTATTATTTATTTATTAAAAATTTGATATTTATTGTTTTATGCACATTTTTATATTATCATCTTCTTCTTTAAAAAAGGGTTGAAATATCAATTAGGCAATTTTTGCTATGGCCTCTAAAAGTTTAATGTGATTTATTTGGCTATCAGAAATTGATATATTTAGGGGTTGCAATGGCAAATTGTTGATTTTGGTTTATAATCATGTGAATAGTTTTTTTTAATTCCGAATGTTTTTATTTATTAATTGATTTTTTTATTTTTTTGTGTGTGTGTGTGGGGTACATAGAAGTTGATCTTTGATAACAATTAGGTTAAAAATTAGTCGTTAGAGTTTGGTTCGAATCAAGATATTCTAGCCATGGAGAAAACTCTTTATCAGCTCATCCAGAGACTTTGCACTTCATTTGAATGTTAATAAATATTATGAGAATTTGATTAAGAAAATGAATTTTATTACTGTCTTGATATTATTATTGAAATTTATATATTTATTATAAAGGTTGCAATGATTTTGCTCCTTCAAAAGTACAATTTACTAATTAAGTGAATCTAGTTATTTCAACAATGAATGTGGTTATAACCAAGAATGATCAAGTTATTCCAATACTTAATATAATTGTTGTCTAAGTTTATATATTTATTAGATGTGCTATAGGTTGTAATGAATTTGGAGTGAACTATGAAAATTAGGGCACTCTTGAGATGATAATAACTAAATATTTTGGGGTATTTTATAGAGTATGAAAGGGAAATTAAGCATTAGCTAGTAAACTCCATGATTGGATTGCAATAACAACACAATAAGTGTAACTATAGGATGTCAAGAGAATTTCCTTAATAATGAGATGAAAAATATTATAAGAATCTCTCATTTCTCTTTATTTATTAATATATAGAATTGAATGTATTTTTGTAAGTATACTTTTCTAATTTCTAGTGAGTTTTATTTTCCCTTAATTCCCTTCCCCTAGAAATTTGATAACTACTATCAAGTATATAGTTTGGATCATCAATTGAATGAAAGATTGACTCCAAATTTGACATATTTATAGTCAAACCAAGCATCTTGATTATATGAATCAAATGAGTCTAAATTCACTCAATTTCAAGGTCATTAATTCACCCAAATCATTAAAAATCCACCATTGATAAAGAGGGATCAGTATTAACAGTTCGATTAGGTGCTTGGGGAAGTTATGTGACAAAAGATCAAAATGCTCATCCCTAAAAAGCTATAAATATCTCTTCAGTTGAGGGGGAAGATGATATGAAGAGTCATGATATAAATATCTTCTCTCCAAAACAGGTTGAGTCTCCATAGCTGCCAGCCACCATCAACCACCGCTTGTCATCACCACCTGCAGCCACCGATCAATGGCCAATGGTCACCCATGTTTATAATTGTTGTTGTCAGAATAGGACTATTATTGAATTTCCTAACACATATTTTTTGTGTTATGTAAAAAAATGTAATTTTCAGTTTAAGATTATAATCACATTTCTTTCTGTCATGAGAGAAGTGTGCACCCTTGTACTTACAAACACATAGTGCATTTTTTTGACTAGGTCAAACCTGATTTTTTTCCCTTTTCAGAGTTTTCCCAAGTAAAAAATCTTGTTCTCCTCCCACTACTTTTTATATGTGTGTTGGACTTCACTCAATGCTAAGAAAATAAATTTTCACTCTATCCGAATTCTTATTTTAGTTTTTTTTACACCTTTATTAATTAATGATAATAAAATATACAGTTGAGATTTGCACTTGTGAAGATTAAAAGCAGTTAGACTTCTTTACTGAGAGACTAAATTCGTAGAAAAATTAGCTTTATTTATAAGTTTGGCTAAATTGAGAGATATTTTTATATTGTCCAATTTTTTTGGCAAATTATTTTCTATTAATATTGTTCTAATAATGGCATGCACATAGTTCATGATCTTTGATACTTCAGAGAATTCACGGGTTATATTTACTTGTTTTTGAGCTTTTATAATAAAATAGATTTTCAAAATGAATAATCACACTTTATGAATTCTCATCTTCTTCTCCTTTGCTAGCATAATGTCGGTCCATTATTAAAATGAAAATCCAAGAGATCTTCCTTTGATAGGTGAGCTTAAGTGTATTAAATGAAACTTTAACTAGGTAAGGATTTAAGCATCTTATGGCAATTTATGAAGACCAACATTGATGTAACCTAGAGAACTAATGTTGCTAATATTTTCTTTGTAATTGGAAAGGAAGAAATTCAGGTAGCATTGGCAACTAAAAAGAAGAAGAATCATCTAATTGAAGTGTGGAATCTTGAGGCTATAAAGCTTGACGGTGTCATCAAAGTTAAGATTTTTACAAACTTACTAATGTTAAAGATTTTATAAATTTATCATTTCTCATTGATATGGTAAGTGTGATTATTATTGAAATTTTAATGGCTTTTGAGAGAAGAACCATCTAATTGGAGTGTGGAATCATGAGGTTAAATAGTTTGATGGTTTCATCAATGTTAAAATTCTTACAAATCTACTAATGTTAAAGACTTTATAAATTTATCAGCACACATTAAAATGGTAAGTATGATTATTGTTAAACTCTTATAAGCTTTTCAAGATGAAGAAGAAGAAGGTGATGATGAATAATAGGGTGGGAGTTTTAAGGTTATTTCTAATCCTATTCTTTGTTTGAAAAAAACTATAAAGGCTATATATAGATATTAAATCTTTGACTTAGCTAGAAAGTGATCAAAGCACTATTCTCAAGAGGCATCTTGTAGAATTATCCAAAGTCAACTTAAGGTTTATGATCTATTAAAATTTTATAAATTTAATGAGTATGTCATAAGGAGTGAGCAAAGTGATATATCTTCTACAAAATTTGGACTTAATCTTAAGGATAAAAAATCCTTCTTAATCACACTTAAAATAAGTCCAAGTATTCCTAACAAAATATCAATTTAGCCAGGTATACTAAATTAAATACCAATTAAATAAAATGTAACTCGGGAAACTCCTAATCATTCTAGTATGGTCGAAGATCAAGAAAGCACGAGAAATGTTATCTAGGCTAAGATTTGGAAGAAAATAAGTTGATGGCTTGTTGCTTACCCCTTAGTGAGTCTTCATTATATTCACGAGTCCCTACTAAATCGTAAAATTCCTTCATAAAGTGCAAATCCAAAGTCATTTTTTTAGTAGGCTAAGTTTAGTTAGAGACTAATCAAAATGGGTGATCCGACAAATTAGTGGTAGGCTATAAATAAGTAATTAAATAAATAACAATCAATTAGTAATTAAATAAATAATAATTCATTAACTTAATGGCAAGTAATTACTTATTTATAGCCTAACACTAATTTGTCGAATCACCCATTTTGATTAGTCTCTAACTAAACTTAACTCATTTTTGTAGACCCCACTGCTCTAAAATAAGCAAGTGGAAGTGAGTAGAACTTTATTTTCTCATTCTAAATATAGAGGAACTCCTCACCCATATTTGTTTTATAAATAATTGACGTGTTGAAAATTTATTGTGATATTTATTTTATTTTCTACATAATTTATGTCATTTTTATGTTTTCTCAAGGCATTTGTGGTTATATATGCAGTGTACAAGTGTTTATGTAACTTGGAAAGCAAAATAGATGAAACAGACTCAATAAGGGTTGAGCTGGCACCTAGTAGCCAATCCTGGGCACCCAGGTGCCAGGTACGAGAAGACCAGACACCCACTCACTAGGAACCTAAGGACCAGACACCCACACACCAGTTCTAACAGCCTAGGTGCCAGGGACTTGAGGACCAGATGCCCAGATACCCAGATATGTGTTTTGATTGGATTTGATGGTTTCACATTGTTTTGCATGACAAGGCTTAAATTCTCATCATATAAAGGAAAAAAGAAATTAGAGAAACTCTAAAGGGAGAAGTGGATAATTAGCCACATCAAAGGGAGTCATCGAAGAATACCTAGGAGCAGTTTGAGCACTTCAAAGGAAGATTCCATTTGAGAGTTACGAGTGTGAGTGAGAGTTCTCCTTAGTGAGATCAAGTGTTCTTTAGTGAGATTGAGGCTTTCATGTACTCAGAGAGGGAAATAACAATAGATTTGTTGTAAACTCTTGTATTTCAGTGGAGCATCTTGGTTAAATTGTTCTAACTTATATTTTTTTTTTGGTTTTGAAATGAATTCTTCATTTATCTATTTCAAATGAGTAGAAACTAAATATATCACTCTATTGAATTGATAATCTATGCAAGTTAGTAATATCTTTGAATTGTGATTGAACATTCTATCATAACAAAATGATATTTTAACCTTTTGCATGTAATTTAGATCTACACCAGTTATTTAGATTGTTAAAATGAATTGTGATCTAGACCTAAAGAAGTAGGATAGTAGAATGATTAGGTTAGCATGCACTACTTTAAGAAAATATGAATATTGTTGTTAAAGTAGTGCAACTATGCAAGAAATATGAAAATACAAGATTATTTACATGATTACAGAACTAATTGTAATATGAAACACTAACATTGGTTAAGACAACTAACAGAGCTAAAGAATATTGTTATTCCTTATTGTCAACAACATTAGAGTCACTTGGATAAGGCCAAATGGCTAAGTCCAATTTAAGGGAAGCTTCCTCACTTGATTAAAACCTTATATAAATTCATCACTATATATAAAGACACACACACACATACATGTATGTATATCTGTATATGTTTATGCATGTGATTTATGTAAATGCATGAATATATGTTTAAGACTTAAACTTGGACCTAAATTGAATTCAATTTAATTAG